AATGGAAATTCTAAGATGGGTTTGGTAAAGGGTATTGGTTGGTACCGGTGTTAATTGGAGGGTGGTTTTCATGAGAAAGTATTTCTGAATATGTAGATAACTGCCAATTGGGATTTCTTTTGCTGCATGATTCTTAACATCAGTTGACGTTAAGGTGGAGATCTTACTAGGAATGATTTGGTTGCTTCAAGTTTTCCTAGTGGCTTCAATCATTTGTGTCATGTTTTCTTCCTGATGAAATATGATCCATGGAAGAAAGTTTCCTCTCTTTTTTTTGGTCTGAAGTTGTAAATTTTCAATAGTAAGAATTTAATCATTCGATTCAATGACCTGATGTTAAACTGAAGTTAGAATTTTTCAGTAGCAAATGACATTTACATGCTCTAGCACTCCTTTATGTTGACCAAATCACTTCTGCCCACCTTACATTCTTAGTTAAGTGTTTGAACCACTTCAACTTCCCCGGTTGGCACTTTTTAGTATTCTACATATTCAATGGTGTTCTTAGTCCACATCTGCGGTCTTATACTTATGTTGGTATTTAGCTGTCTTTGTGTTTCCTTGTCCTGGAATTTTGATTATTTACATCTGATTTTGACATATCACAGTTCGAGGGAGAGGGTCTTCTTTTAAGTCAGTACGGTTGCCTGTAATTTCTGAAGAAAATGTTGTTTTATTGAAAGATCTTTTGAGAGCACACACTTCTTCACCACCACAAACATTAAGAAGTGGCTGCTGCAAAATTGAAGAATTAAAGGTCTGCACTTGTGTTAGATTGTTGCTAGTAAGCTGCATTTATTTTCTTTTGTTAAGTATGAAAATGTGTTTTGTATCTTATTTTTCAGGTAAACCATGGCAAGAGGTTGCATGACAGCTTGGATGCCATGACTGGTGAAACCAAAGTACCCACTGGAGGACACACATCTTCTTCTTGTATAAGCTTACCAACAGGCAATTCATCTTATTTTTGCTTGTTGATGAAAAATATTGATGTTCTAGAGGAGATATTTGATGATTCAGATGTCTTAAGGTTGGAAAAGGATATTCTGCTGCAATTAGGGAAGCTTGGAGCTTTAAAGTTATTCTATACTTTTCTATATAGGACCCTCAAATCCTTGAATGTTTTCTGCTCATCCAGTCTTCCTACTAATATTGGACAGTGTACACATAAAAGAAACAAGCCGGTGGATAATCATGTGGGTAAAATTGTTTTTTGTTCTAGAAAAAATAAAGAAAGAAAAAAGAGAAGAGAAATGGCATCAGAAAGTTCCAAGAAGATTTATTCACAACTGCAACAAAGTCTCACTGATTCCTCTCCAAAAGGGGCATCAAACTCTAGAAATAGAAGATCTATAAATGCTAGAAATGAAGCAGAAATGTTGAAGGGAGTTAAGGTTGTCTTAGGAGTTTATCATGTTGAGTACGTATTTGTTGATTATGTATTTGGATGATTTGAAAGCTGTACACTTCCCTAGCAGGTGGTTGCAGAATTGGAGAGAATCAGAACAGGTTGGAGGAGCAAATTGGGAGAATGGGCCAGCTTGAGTTGCTGGGCAGAAGCAGCTGGTGTTAGTGTGAATGTGCTGCAGCAGCATTTGCATTTTGGTTGGTGATGCAGAGATGAGTTACTGAGGAGTTCCCGCTCCTTAGTTCTCTATCTTGCTAGAAACTACAGGGGTTTGGGAATTGCATACAAAGATCTAATCCTGGTTAGTCAGAATGGTTCAATATGCTTAATTACCCAAAGCACTCTATATGAAACAGCAATTCAGGGTAAACCTTATCAGGAATAAAAGATGAGATTGTGTTGCCTTTTAGTTGGGATGTTAACAAGTTCAGTTGTTTAGAATGAACTATTGTTGTGACCAGGTTAGAAAAAACATCCTTATAATCACATTATAACTGAAGCTGTAAGGTGGAAATTAGAAGAATGTAAATGGGGGAGTTGCTATCAAGGGGCTAAGTATGTGCTTTATATCATTGTGCCAAAACTCTCCAAATAATATAACATAGCAAATAGAAGTTAGATATTCTCTTTAAGAATTGAAGAAGAACCATAAATTAGATTAATCAGGCACAAAACGAAGCATGACCTTTGTGGTAAAATTCAATGTTTCACAATCTAAATTATACTCTAAAACTGTTCCTTCTGGCCAACGCACATAATAGTTTAGATGGTCTTTAGAAATAGAAAAAAAGAAAGAGTTCAATAAAAACGATATTAATACCAAATTTTTTGATTGGTTGCCTAATTGGAAATACATTGCAAGAATCGTTGTGACTTGGCATGATATTTAGTCTTCCATATATTTTCTGTTTCACTACATTAACAAAACTGCAGAGTCACAGACATTCAATTTATCTCCCAAAAATTGACAGGTGGGAAATTTAGGTGTCTTGCATGGGGCAGAGAGATTTGAGCACACAAGGGGATTCAAATTCTCCACTTATGTACAGTACTGGATAAGAAGGTCAATGGCAAGGATGGTGGCTCAACATGCTAGATGGATACGACATCCTGTATGTTGTTCTTCTTTAGCTGATTATTTCTTCTCAGAGATATCATGCTAATGGCACTGGAGTTTAATTCAAATGTTGTTTGCTTGCTCCTTATTCTTTGTAGTATGCATTGAGCAGGGCAATAAATAAGATACAAAAAGCTAGAAAGGCCCTAAGTGTCAGCAATGGGAAATTCCTACAGGATGATGGAATTGCAAAGTTCACAGGTCTTCCTCTCGCTAAAATCAAATCAGCTAGCAAATTCATGAGAATTGTTGGTTCAGTTGATGAGAAGGTTGGAGATTGCTCTGGCGCAAAGTATTTGGTATGTCATAATCTCTTTGGGAACATATCTTTCATCTCATCTCTGCATGGTTCTAATTCAAGACATGCCACTTTAATTTTGTTCTCTGGACCATGTTAAAGGCATAAGTTTCAATCTCTACTTTCTCTAGTTGATCTTCATGATGGTGGCAAGAATTGCCACGTATCTAGTAGATGATGCTACCGAATTCATAGAGTGAAAAACACTGCATGTTCTTACCTGTTTGGCATGACATATAAAAACTTGAATTTTTTTTTTTTTGGGGGGGGGGTGCCAAAAATCAGACGAGACCTCTCTTCATTGCTCTAAGAGAGATTTCTGGTTTAATGCAAAGCTAGGATTGTATGCAATCGCTTAATAATGGCACAACTTCTATTTTAAGGTGAAAAATCTAAGTAGAGCTTATCTTGCAACTTTCCACGGTGGATGTGATTGGAGGCTTGCTTCAGCGTGTTTAATGTACTTAGACTAACTTACCAAGAATAATGTTAAAGATAGTATCTTTGAATTTAATATCCTAACTTGTAAACACATGCTTTATGTGATCGTTTATGCTATCTTAGAAATTTGCATAATAAGATGTGTAGAAGCAGAAATGTTCCTTTTCTTCTATTGCTTCCCTTTGAATCCATAAGAAAATTTTGTCCATAAATGCTAGTTGAATGCTGATTTTTGACAACCTTTAATTGACGGCCTATGGTGGTGATGCAGGAAGTTTTGCCTGATACGTCAATAAAGACCCCAGAAGAAATGGTGTTGAGGCAACACATGATGAAAGATATTCATGATATGTTGAATGGTTTGGGTTCAAGAGAGAGACAAGTCATGATCCTAAGGTACAGGCTCAAGGACTTTCAGCCTATGTCGCTTAACACATGATGAAAGATACTCATGATCTGTTGAATGGTTTGGGTTCAAGAGAGAGACAAGTCATGATCCTAAGGTACAGGCTCAAGGACTTTCAGCCTATGTCGCTTGAGGAGATCGGAAGGCATTTCCAGGTGAGCAAAAAATGGATTAGGAAGATAGAAATGGAAGCCATGTCAAAACTGAGAGATGAAGAAACATGCAGGAACTTAAACCACCATCTACATTTGCAGTTAAATTATGACTAACTTGCTCCTTGAATAGGTAACTTGCCAGCAAAGAAACAAAGGAAATGAAAATTTGATGCTGACCCCTGGAAAATTAGAACACAAAACAACAACACGTGTCAGTTAGCTTAGGCATTCCATCCTCTCTTTACCTATAGATTGGCTTGTTTCAACTAACTACTTTTCCTTTTCAGTACCTTAGGCATTAAAGTTGGAAATGAACTCTAAAATGGAAATACAAAAGATCACTGCTTTGCTTGAAACTTGATCACTTGTAAACACAGTCAGAAATCTCACCTTTTGATGTGAAGTTTGAATTACATCTTTTCTAGTATTATAGCAAGTTGATCACTATGTTTTATCTAATCTTGCCAATATTTGTACTAGTAACTAGTAAAAAAATAAAATACTCAACAATATTTTATTCTCAACTAAATGGGTGATATTCTGATTGGTAAAATGGTTTGCTTCTCACATGTTAGATAGGATTTGATTTCTTACAAGACTAATGGAAGGTATATGATCTTTAATAAATTTCTTAGCTTAGTTTTTTTTTTTTGGTATAAAATTTCTTAGCCTAGTTTGGATTGCCAGCATTTGCTCATTTGGGTATGATATTTGAATTTATTTATTTTTTAAAGATATTTGCTTTCCTTTTTTTTTTTTTTGAAATAATAAATAGGATTTTGGATTGGACTGGAATGGGCTCAAATTCACAGCTAGGCCCAACATGCTACTTGGCAGATACTTAGCTTCTTGGGTCAGTCACCTATAACCGGTTTTTAAGGCAAAGAAATAAAATAAAATAAAATAATAAAAGGAGCGTTCATCCGCTTTGTTTAGGGTATGGATATGGATAATGTTGTTAAGGATATTAAATTTTGTTTAATTTATTTATTAAAATTAGTTAATAACTAATAAAATTATTAAAATATATTTATTATTTAATAAATTAAAATTAATTTATAAATTAATATTTTTTAAAAATTATAATTAATTATTTAAAAAAATTATGAAAAAAATCATTAAAATTAAATATAATTTTAAAGTAACTTTATCAAAATTGTGGGTAAACGCTACACGTGTCCCATCCCTGGTCGTTAAGAAAACGAGTCCATCACCTGCCTTTCAGTCACAGCCCAAAATTTCCCCGGCTTCCGTCACGGCTAGCGGCGTCACGTTGTATTCCAAGTGAAGAAGCTCCGTGATACGCGGGTGAGTGCATCAAAAACCCGACGCTGCACTTTTACTGTCGGTTTTTGCCCTCCCGAGTAAAGCCGCCCTCACAAGATCCACGCTCCGTTTCCCACGCGTAAACTCACTCTCCCGACATCAACTAACTTCAAGGCACACAGTTTGGTGATAAGCCCGATGTTTAAGCATAAATCACCGTCCGACGTCGTTTAATCACCCCTTCCGTTCTTTGTGACAGTTTTTTTTTTTAGTTTCCCGTCCGGTATCTGGGATTTTGCTTTAACTAATTCAGATCAGCCCGTGTCGCGCACTTGAAAATAGTGGGTGAGTCTCCCAACAAAAACTGCTGCATACACAAAATCTCAAACTTGAGATTTTATTTAAATTAGAACAAACCGCTTATTACTTGATCCAATACTTTATTGGTGTTCTTTGTGACAGTTATTTTCACTGAAGAAGAGTATCAGGGAGCCTGAGTTTTTTTAATCATTATGCAATTAGTATATTTTTTAATAATTAATTTATATTAAAAATAATGATTAATTTTTAATTATAAATTATTTAATCAAAATTATTAAGTGATATTAGTATTAAAATTAATAGTAATTTTTTTTTATTTCTTTACGTAAATTAGAGAATAGAAAATATAGGACTTGTCAAACTTAGGTAAAATTTAATATTAATTTATATAAAAAATTATAAAAATAAATTGTATTTTTAACATTAACATCACTTAAAATAATTTAATTAAATAATT